GCGCCGCGCCGAGGCGCCCGTGGCAGCAGGCGGCGGCGAGGGCCGTCCAGCCGTCGGCGTCCGCCGCGGCCGCGGCCGCGCCCCCGTCGAGGAGCGCGCCCGCGAGGTCGTCGCGGCCGAGCCACCTGCGCGCGCGGGGGGGGGGTCGGCGCGCGGCGCTGCCCGAGCGCCCCGCGCGGCGCGGCCCACTCCCGCGCGGCGGCGCGCGCGGCGGCCATGAGCGCCGTGCGCCCGGAGTCGTCGGCGGCGCCGGCGTCGGCGCCGGCGTCGAGCAGCGCCCGCGCGACGGCACCGCGGCCCTTGAGCACAGCCCAGTGGAGCGGCGTGCGGCCGCCGCCGTCGCGGGCGCCGACGCCCCTCCCGGCCGCGAGGAGCGCCTCGACGTCCTCGACGCGCCCGTTCGCGCAGGCCCAGTGCAGCGACGTCGACCCGCAGCCCGGGGCGTCGATGACGGACCCGTCGCCCCGCGGCGAGAGCAGGCGGGGCGACTCCATCGCGCCGGCCGGGCTGCACGCTTCGACGAAACGGAAGGAGCCAGTTGAAGCTAATGATTCCTTAGCTCACTGATGTTGCCGCGTTTCTCGCTTGTTCCGAACCGGCCCCTGCACTAGCGCGAGATGGGGGGCCGCTATGGCGGTGTGAGCGGCATCGGGGGACGCGAGGGACTCGGGTGCGTCGCCTCGCCGCCTCCAGATGAGGAGAACCATAGCCGGAGCGTTAGAAGCTAGGTAGGCTCTAGGTTAGGAAGGAGGACTCGGAGGATACGGGGGATGCGTAGCGATGACGCTGGGGGATTTGGGTCATCTGCTCCCCCGCCACATGTGGGCGTATGGAGTGGGGCACCCCGATGGGAGCTCGCTTGGGGAAGATGAATCCCGCAGGAGCCGAGAGTCGGAGGCCGTAGACGCAGCGGCGGCGGTCGGACTCGGAGGCGTACGGGCACCACCGGCTACGGCTGCGAATGAGCCGTCGTTGAACAAACTCATCTATGAAGCAATGCTGCAGTAATCCGCAGCTAAGAGACGGTCTCTCGTGCGAGCATTTTCAGCGGCCGATGATGGAATCTCCACCTTAGAGGGCCCCGCGCTCCTCGAATATGCAGCGACGTGCAACGATCCCAGTGGCTTTGAGGTCCGCAAACATGTGGGTGAGGCACATGAAAAGACGCGACATCCGGACGATTGCGAGGCGACGCAAACGAGCAGCCCCAGGGGGTGGAATGGGGCGGGGCAGCTTCCCCCGACCCGATTTTCGGTCGCCTTCGAGTCACAGAGCGTCGGGAATCGTTCGTCATGAGGGCGATCTGATGCCCTCGCGGCAGCTCTTCGGCTCGAGCCGATTTGATCGAGACCACCTCACCGGCTCCGGGAGGCGTGCGGCGCCGCGGGTGACACGGTGCTCACCGTGCAATGCATGAGGCGTTCGGTGCGCTAGGACCGAGACAGTGCCCTCGGGAACATCATTCCAGGGGGTGTCTCTTCGAAGTCTAGCGCACGACTCGGACCTCAACACTAATGCGAGCTCCTCGTCGGTCGCCCCCCACCATTAACGGCCGTTCTCGACATCCACGGGCTGCCCCGACGCGAACTAAGTTGCTCGCCTTCGACCGATGGTCTTTCCCGAGCGACTCGCAGCCGGGCCCGAGGCGCGACATGGTCCACAGATCGAGCGCCGCGCCAAGACATGGAACCGCTGCATCGCGCGTCCGAGCCCGGAGCGAGGCAAAGCCGTGACGTCAAAACTGCACGGCTTCGCTGCTCTTTGAACCGGTTAACTTTAGCTTAGCCCGCACGCGCAGTGGGACGCCGGCCGGCCCCGGCCTCTAGCTCTACGCGCGCGCGCGCAGTAGAGGTGTCAGGAGGCGTGCGTGCGGCGTCGATACGTCGCCCGCCTTAATATGCGGCGCGCCTTAATCTGCGGTTCATTACTCGTGCTCGCGGTCGCATCGAGCTTCGCGCCGCTCCGGCCGCTCGCGCCGCTCCGGCCGCGTTCGGCCGGCGGCCGGCCGCGCGCCTCGGGCGACGGCGCCGAGGTCGTCGAGGTCGAGCTGGCGCGGCCGTTGGGCGTCACGGTCCAGGAGGTGCGCGGCGCCGTCGTCGTCCAGTCCTGCGCGCCGCGCGCCGCCGCC